GCTATTTAAAAAAATGAAAAAATGAGAAAGACTTCTATATACTGAGATGGTATATCAACAGGATCTATCACTGGGGAAAAAAAGCAAGAGTAAAACAATGCTTGTAATATGGCACCTTTTTAGTAGCCCAATCTAAAGGGAAACATATATGCACCCCCACATTTACTTATAGTTTCAAAATGATACAAGAGAAAAATAAACAATAACTAATAAAGGCGCTTCCATCTATAGTGCAAGGAAGGGGACAGGGTGGAGGAGACAGGCATGATCTTGAGGCTTCCTTAAATATACTTTGTTATATACTTTGACTTTTGAACAAAACTAATCAAAAAGAAAAAAAAATCCCTAAAAATAGAAAGCAGATGGAAGGAAACAAATGGACTGACCTTTATACTAAATTTGTGACAAAATGATATGGAGAAAAGAATTATTTCAACTTGACTTTAAAAACACAGAATTTTGGGGGCGCCTGGGTGGCTCAGTCGGTTAAGCGTCCGATTTTGGCTCGGGTCATGATCTACAGTCCATGAGTTCGAGCCCCGCGTCGGGCTCTGTGCCGACAGTTCAGAGCCTGGAGCCTGTTTCAGATTCTGTGTCTCCCTCTCTCTCTGACCCTCCCCCTGTTCATGCTCTGTCTCTCTCTGTCTCAAAAATAAATAAACGTTAAAAAAATTAAAAAAAAAAAAAAACCAGAATTTTGACTGTACATCCCAAATTGGATATATTCTCAGGACAGAGAGAACTACAAAGACATTCTAAACTGCATTCAGCAGTTTTGTTAATGATAATAGTGTTATTTTTATTTTTATAGGAAGTTATATCATAGGTGACTGTGTTAATGCTATTAAGAACCAAGATGTTCAAAATAAGAGAATGGAAATACATGGAGAAATTTGAAGTTAGGCAAAAACCTGCCATGTTCAATTTAAATTGGAAATATCACTACAAATTCAGAGTTTTTGTTTATGTTTATTTTTTTTAATGTTTATTTATTTTTGAGACAGAGAGAGACAGAGCATGAACGGGGGAGGGGCAGAGAGAGAGGGAGACACAGAATCCGAAGCAGGCTCCAGGCTCTGAGCTGTCGGCACAGAGCCCAACACGGGGCTCGAACTCACGGACCGCGAGATCATGACCTGAGCCGAAGTCGGAGGCTCAACCAACTGAGCCACCCAGGCGCCCCAGTGTTTATTTATTTTTGAGAGGGGAGGGGCAGGGAAAGTAGGAAACAGAGGATCTGAAGCGGGCTCTGCACTGACAACAGAGAGGCCAATGTGGACTTGAACTCTGGAATCGTGAGATCATGACCTGAGCCAAAAATCAAAAGCCAGATGCTCAACTGACTGAGCCACCCAGACACCCCTCTCCAAAGGAATTTTTTTTAATGTTTATTTATTTTTGAGAGAGAGAGAGAGGGAGGGAGGGAGGGAGAGCACGCACACGAGATCAAGCTGGGGAGGGGCTGCGAGAGAGGGGGACAGAGGATCCAAAGTGGGGGCTCAAACTCATGAACTCTGAGATCTTGACCTGAGCCAAAGTCGAACACTTAACCGACTGAGCCACCCAGGTGCCCCTAAATTCAGGGTTTTTTTAAACAAAAAGGTTATTATTCGCCCTGACCACTGAAAAGTCCGAGAAGCAATGACCACCTAATAGCAATCAGTTCCCTGCCACAAATTATAATTACTGAAGATCATCCCCCACTAAATAAAATAGGATTCTTTAGAGAAATCTCTGACTCCAGGTCTGGGGCAAGGGCCTGTATGAGATGAGCCAGGGAGGTCTTCTTGTGCAGGAAAGCAAGGAAACTCTCAACAACTACTATGGTTATGCCAAGATGCCTCATGGGGCACCTGGGTGGCGCAGTCGGTTAAGTGTCTGACTTTGGCTCAGGTCATGATCTCACGGTTCGTGGGTTCGAGCCCGCATTGGGCTCTGTGCTGACAGCTGGGAGCCTGGAGCTGGCTTTGGATTCTGTGTCTCCCTCTCTCTCTGCACCTCCCCCACTCATGCTCTGTCTCTCAAAAGTAAATAAATTTAAAAAAAGTAAATAAATAAACAGTTAAAAAAAAAAAAAGAAGAAGAAGAAGAAGAAGAAGAAGAAGAAGAAGAAGAAGAAGAAGCAGAGCGCCTGGGTGGCTCAGTCGGTTCAGCATCTGACTTCAGCTCAGGTCCTGATCTCACGGTCCGTGAGTTCCAGCCCCGCATCGGGCTCTGTGCTGACAGCTCAGAGCCTGAAGCCTGCTTCAGATTCTATGTCTCCTTCTCTCTGCCCCTCCCCTACTCATTCTCTCTCTCTCTCTCTCTCTCTCTCTCTCTGTCAAAAATAAACTTAAAAAAAAAAAGCCTCATGAGTCAATTTTAAAGGGGTCTAATAAGGGACAATCAGAGTGTCCCTTATCAAAGTGAAAAATCAAAGTGAAAAATCACTGATTTATTGAGACACATCCAATATATAAAAATCCCTGAACTCATAATGAGCTGATAAAAACATTAGTCACCCTTGAACACCAAAATCATTCTGAAAATTGATCTAGAAGGCAAAAATCACACAGTTGTCCTACCTTGCCTACATTTCAAGATAGACACAAAGTTGATGAGGGAAATTTCTTCTATATAGACTTCTAGCTAATGCAGAAGAAATGATGGCATTGGAAAATCAAGTCTCCTCCTTCTAATGACAGAGTGGACCTAGGCAGTGATCATCAGTGACTGCTAAAATCATCAGCTTAAAGGATAATAGGATGCTAGAATGCAAAATTCAGCCTGACACCATCTGAACCCCACTCATCAATCTTTTTTTTTTTAATGTTTATTTATTAATGAGAGAGAGAGAGACAGAGTGTGAGCAGGGGAGGGGCAGACCGAGAGGGAGACACAGAATCCGAAGTAGGCTCCAGGCTCTGAGCTGTCAGCATAGAGCATGACGTGGGGCTCGAACTCATGAAGTGTGAGATCATGACCTGAGCCAAAGCTGGATGCTCAACTGACTGAGCCACCCAGGTGCCCCTCATCAATCTTAATATCATAAAAAGTAAGACACCAGACATTATAGGCCTCCTTATGGAAAGATGCAATGAAGGATCAAGAACACCTTGGGGCACCTGCTTGGCTCAGTTGGTTGAGTGTCCAACTCTTGATTAGGGCTCAGGTCATGATCTCATGTTGTGAGATGGAGCCCCAAGTTGGGCTCCACACTAGGCTGCTTAAGATTCTCTCTCTCTCTCAAAAAACAAAACGAAAAAAAGGACACCACCCATGAGGGATTCTTAACTTAAAAAGTGAACCCAAATCTGATCGAATCTCTACAAAAAAAAAAAAAAAAAAAAAAACAAGTTATGAAAAGTGTTTGATTTATATTCAAGGAGTGTAAGAGCAAAGCAATTCTCACAGCTGAAGCCACGTGACTGTCCCAACCCCACTCCTGTAGATTCAGGCAGCCCACAGCTCTAGAACAGCTCCTGTTTATCCATTAAGGGGAAATTGAGGAGCCCGAGTTCCATAACTCACATGACTGCATACAGTCAACCTGGCCACTGATCCTGATAGAACATTGTGTGTGACTCATACCCCACATTCAATTATTGGTTGACTGCTTTAGGCCCTGTGACTACTTTTCTATCTGACTAACGTACCTATTGCCAGAGTTGCTCTGAAACAGGGGCTCTGCTTGATTCTTAAAATATTCCTAAGATTAGGGTCCTGACCTCGAATTCCAATGCACCTGCTGGGTCCTCACTCCATATTGCTAAGTACCTACTTGCACCCTGTTTCTTGCCTGCTCCCAGGCTTTCTTTCTTTCTTTTTTTTTTTTTTTTTAATGTTTATTTATTTGAGAGAGAGAGCATATGTGCTCAAGCGGGAGAGGGGCAGAGAGAGGGAGAGAGAAAATCCCAAGCAGGCCACACCCTCAGTTATGGAGCCCAACGCAGGGCTCGAACTCATGAACCTGAAAGATCATGACCTGAGCCGAAATCAAGAGTCAGATGCTTAACTGACTGAGCCCCCTGGTGCCCCCCAGGCTGCCTGTTTTTAACTTCTTGCCATCTTATTAGGTGTTTCTTGACCTAGAAATCTTGTGTTAATTTGACCCATACTGCTAAAATTTAGACTAAATATCAGACCATGTATTTTTGCTCATTCATAACATCCTGGGGCAGGTTGGTGACATTATCCTTGTTTTGAAATGGAACATAAACATGTGAAACACTTGTTTCTGGGGCAGCACCATTACCAGCACCCTCAATCTCGGTTCCCTAAATAAGGAATAGTAGATGCAGCCTGCAAATTACTTAGCAAGTGCTCCCATTCTCTCCAAGCCTTGAGTCCTCTCCTTGTTTGTCACTGCTGGCCCACCCCAGCCATCTCTTCCTTCTCTGCTCCACTCGACCCCTGCTCTGATGGGAATGCTTTTTAAAAGCTTCTACAACCAGGTCAGTCCCCAGGTGTCGGCTCAGTGCTTTGATTCCATGGATATGACCTTCTTCTATTTTTTAATGCTTTTTATTATAAAGTAAAACAGATAAAGAACACCACACAGACGCACGGCTTAATGAATTCACATAAAGCAACACTCTCGTAACCATCATCAGGTCAAGAAATAGATCTTTGCAGTCACCCCGGGAACCCCTTCCATGTGTGCAGCGGCCAGATCACAAGCCCCTCCTTTACTCATACATAACTATAGTCTAGACTTTTATAGTCATCACTTGCTTGCTTTTCTTAAATAAGTTTTCCCACCTGTATGTGCATCCCTAGACACCCTATCTTAGTCTTGCCCATTTAAAAAATTACATGTCTTCCACGTCTCTTTTTTTTTTAATGTTTATTTATTCATTTTGAGAGAGAGAGAGAGAGAGAGAGAGAGAATCCCAAGCAGCCTCCACACTGTCATCGAAGAGTCCAACACCGGATCGATCTCACACGGACCGTGAGATCATGACCCGAGCCAACATCAAGAGCCAGACGCTTAACCGACTGGGCCATCCAGGTGCCCCTCTTTCACGTCTCTTTTAATCTTCAGTTCCCCCTCCATTCCTCTTCTCCTTAGAATTACCTGTTGAAACCCCCAGGCTATTTGACTAAGTTTCCCAGTCTGGATTTCGCCAGCCGATTGCTATTTCAATGAACTTACCTGGCCTTCCCGACTTCCCTCTCATCTTGCTGGGGCAGGCTTGCAGCTCCGGCAGCTTTGGGAGAGGTGTCCTCACTGCACTCCACAGCATGACTGATTGAAAGAAGCCAGCTTCCCTGCTCCCCGTTGCTGCCAGCTAGGGCTCCATCTGACTCTTTGGGAGGCTAGCTGACGTCAGATCTGCTACGCACTCCTGCTACCACGATCCACCTCATTCTTTCCCTTCTTCTTGGTGAGAGGTGCTGCTTGATCCCTGAGACGTAGAAAAGTAGAAACAGAGGCATCCAGAGTGTTATTGGACCTTGAGGTACAGGAAACATCATTCCTTCCGGTGGCTTCCTTGCCAATTTCTAGCAGCGCTTTTGAGGGGGATTAAGCAATGGACAACATGCCAGCTGAGTGTTGGGTATCTTTTGAAGGGATTTTGTATGTTTAAATGTACTTTACAAAGCTTAAAAGAAATAAAGTTTAAAATCACAGTCGTAACGATATTTCAGTCACGCTGTGGGTGAAGTGGCATTTTTGTAGGCCCACCTTGAACCCTAATCAAATATAGCCTTATTTCTGCAGGAAACCAAAGGCCAAATTCCAAACATGTAACTTAAAAAAGTGTGGGAATAGATCTCTGTAAATCTGAGGGTTAGCTGTGCAGACAACTATAACATTTTAGATTCTGGGTTATGCAAGCTAACCTGAAATTACTTTGTCGAGGTCTTCTCCTAAAGAGGGTTTACATATTCTTACCCTACGCATCCTCCCAAATGACTTAAAATATCATTCCTTCATCTACTTCCAAATAACAAAAAATAATGATTCCCCTTCTGTGTTCTAAAAGAAAGGCCAAGAAAAGTATTGCTTCAGGCAGCTAATGTCCAAAATCTGACTACCATAGAGAAAGTCACAACACCCGCCAACCCCCTAAAAATTCTAGAGACCAACACTGTTATTATACAAACTGAGCATGTCTCCAGGGGAAACAACCCCACCCACCCCCAAACCTTCTAAATCTCCAAGCAATATATGGAATTATTTAGGACATAAATGTGAATCACTAGCAGCTGGGAAATTTTTAGATGTTGAAACATGATAGTCTCCATTTGCTTGCATCCCATCAATAGTCTCTGTTCCACTTGAAAAGCATCACATCAAAGATAGAGGCAAAATGTAGTAATAACAACAACAACAGAAAGATTTATTTTATTCTGGAGCTCTATGGTAATGACTCTTTAGATTCTTAGACTCATTACAACTTACATTGGGTCCAAGAACACCAACGCATTTTATAAGGCCTTTCAAATAAGCCAAATAAGGGTATTCAGCCAAGACTCATTCATATTCAGATTTCTAAGACACTCTGATTTGATAATATATGTTCCATACAATGCAGTAATGGTTAAATCAGGGGTCTACTGAGCTTTGAGCCTCGTGGAGTGAAGCTGCAATTTAAAGCAGCATAGTGTTTGGGGCGCCTGGGTGGCTCAGTCGGTCGGGTGGCTGACTTCAGCTCAGGTCGTGATCTCACAGCTCGTGAGTTTGAGCCCCACGTCAGGGTCTGTGCTGACAGCTCAGCGCCTGGAGCCTGCTTCAGAGTCTGTGTTTCCCCCTCTCTCTGCCCCTCCCATGCTCATGCTCTTTCTCTGTCTCAATAATAAATAAAAATTAAAAAAAGGAATAAAATACTTAGGAATAAATTTAACCAAGGAATTCTTAAAACTGCATTCTTAAAACTATAAGACACTGGTGAAAGAGCAAGATGACACAAGCAAAGGGAAACATATACCATGCTCATGGATTGGAAAAATATTGTTAAAATGTCCATACTACCCAAAGCAATCTACAGATTCAAGGCAAAACCTATCAAAATACCAACTGTATTCTTCACAGAACTAGAACACATAACCTTAAAATTTGTATGGAACCACAAAAGTCTCCTAATAGCCAAAGCAATCTTGAGAAAGAAAAATAAACCTGAAGGGATCACAATGCGAGACATCAAGCTATACTACAAAGCTATAGTAATCAAAACACTATGGCACTGGCACGAGATAGACACATAGCTCAATGAAACAGAATCGAGATTCCAAAAGTAACCATGTGCTTATATGATCAATTAATCTGTGACAATGGAGGCAGGAATATAAAATGGGGGAAAGACAGTCTCTTTAATAAATGGTGTTGGCTTAAACTGGACAGCAACATGCAAAAGAATGAAACCACTGGACCATTTTCTTATACCAACACAAAAATAAACTCAAAATGGATTAAAGACCTAAATGTGGGGCACCTGGCTGGCTCAGTAAGGAGAGCATGCGATTCTTGATCTTGGGGTCGTGAGATCAAGCCCCCACATTGGGTGTAGAGATTACATATATACAGGGGCGCCTGGGTGGCTCAGTCAGTTAAGTGCCAGACTTCGGCTCAGGTCATGCCCTCGTGTTTCGTAAGTTTGAGCCCCGCGTCGGGCTCTCTGCTCTCAGCACAGAGTCTGCTTCAGATCCTCTGTCTCCCTCTCTCTGCCTCCGTCTCCCTCTCTCTCTCTCAAAACTAAATAAACATTTTTAAAAAATGTAAGAGATCACATACATACATATATAAACTTTAAAAAACAATTTAAAAAGACCTAAATGTGAGCCCTGAAACCATAAAGGCCCTAAATATAATCATAGGCAATTATCTCTTAGACATTGGCTTTAGTAACGTCTTTCTGGATAGGTCTCCTCAAGCAAGGGAAACAAAAGCAAAATTAAACTATTGGGACTAAATCAAACTAAAAGCTTTGCACAGCAGAGGAAACCATCAACAAAATGAAAAGGCAACCCGATGGGGCACCTGGGTGACTCAGTCGGCTAAGCGTCTGACTTTGGCTCAGGTCATGATCTCATGGTTTGTGAGTTTAAACCCCACATTGGGCTCTGTGCTGGCAGCTCAGAGCCTAGAGCCTACTTCGGACTCTTTCACTCCCTCTCTCTCTCTGCCCTTCCTCTACTCACTCACGCATTCTCTCTCTCTCTCTCTCTGTCTCAAAAATAAACATTAAAAAAAATTAATGGGAATGCAAGCTGGTGCAGCCACTCTGGAAAACAGTACGGAGGTTCCTCAAAAAACTAAAAATAGAACTACCCTACGACCCAGCAACTGCACTACTAGGCATTTATCCACGGGATACAGGTGTGCTGTTTCGAAGGGACACATGCACCCCCATGTTTATAGCAGCACTATCAACAATAGGCAAAGTATGGAAAGAACTCAGATGTCCATTGATGGATGAATGGATAAAGAAGATGTGGTATATATATACAATGGAGTATTACTCAGCAATCAAAAAGAATGAAATCTTGCCATTTGCAACTACGTGGATAGAGCTGGAGGGTATTAATTACGCTAAGTGAAATTAGAGAAAGACAAAAATCATGTGACTTCACTCATATGAGGACTTTAAGAGACAAAACAGATGAACATAAGGCAAGGGAAACAAATATAATATGAAAACAGGGAGGGGGACAAAACAGAAGAGACTCATAAATACGGAGAACAAACTGAGGGTTACTGGAGGGGGTGTAGGAGGGGGATGGGCTAAATGTGTAAGGGGCACTAAGGGAATCTACTCCTGAAATCATTGTTGCACTATATGCTGACTAATTTGGATGTAAATTTTTAAAAATAAAAAATAAAATTAAAAAAAATTAAGAAAAGGCAACCTGCGGAATGGGACAAGATATTTGCAAATGATACATCTGATAAGGGGTTAATATCCAAAATTTATAAAGAACTCATACAACCCCACGCCAAAGAAACAAATAATGCATTTAAAAAATGAACTGAGGATCTGAATGGGCATTTTTTGAAAAGATGCTCAACATTACATCAGGGAAATGCAAATCAAAACCACAATGAGATATCACTTTACACTAGTCAGAATGGTTAGTATCAAAAAGATAGGTAATAACAAATACCGGAAAGGATGTGGCAAAAAAAGGGAAGCCTCATGCGCTGTTAGTGGGAATGTAATTTGGTGCAGCCACTGTGGAAAACAGTATGGAGGTTCCCGAAAACAATTAAAAATAGAAATACCATACAATTCAATAATTCCACTGCTGGGTATTTACCTAAAGGAAACAAGAACAGCAGTTCAATAGATGAATGGATAAATAAGATGTGGTATGTATACAGAATGGAATATTACTCAGCCATAAAAAAATCAAGAAATCGTGCCATTTGCAACAACATGGATAGTCCTAGAGAGTATTATGGTAAGTGAAACAAGTGAGACACAGAAAGACAAATACCATACGTAGAACCTAAAGAACAAAAAAACAGAAACAGACTCATAAATACAGAGAACAAACTGGAGGTTGCCAGAGGGGATGGGGTGCAGAAGCGCATGAAATAGGTTTAGGAGATTAAGAGGTACAATCTTCCATTTATAAAATAAATAAGTCACAGGGATGTAATGCACTGCACAGAGATACAATCGACAATGTTGTAAACATTTTGCATGGTCACAGAGGGTAACTACATTTATCACAGCAATCACATCATTATGTACATAAACATCAGATCACTATGTTGGACACCTAGAACTAATATAATACTGTATGTCAACAACACTGCAATCAGAAAAGATTCTGGGGGCTCCTGGCTGGCTCAGCCATAAGAGCATATGACTCGATCTCGGGGTTGTGAGTTCGAGCCCCACGCTGGGTGTAGAGAGGACTTAAATAAAGAAAACTTTGAATAAAAAGATTTTTGTGGGATTTTATAAGTTGATTCTAAAATTCATACGGAAGAACAAAGAGCCAAGATGAGGGAGAAAATGTGTGAAGAAATGCAACACAGAAGAACCTTGTTGACAGATTTTACTACAGAACTAGAGTTGTCGTGACAGTATGGTAATGGTGCAGGGACAAATAGCCCAAAATGACCAAATAGAAAAACTACAAAACAAATAGAAAAAAACGAAATAAACAATAAAATAAAATAAATAAAAATAATAAATAAAGTAAAATAAAATAAAAAACAAATACAGAAACTACAAAACAGACCTCCACAACAGAAGGGACATTACATATCGATGGGGAAAGGATGGCCTATTCAGCAAATGTGGCCAGTTACCTACCGGGAACAAACCAACCAACCAACAAACAAAAACACTTCAAGGCGCCTGGGTGGCTTGGTTAGTTGAGCATCCAACTCTTGGTTTCAGCTCAGGACATGATACCAGGGTGTGGGACTGAGCAGCCTGCCTGAGATTCT